GCACACACCTGGCACCTGCCATGGCGGGAACAGCGCGCGCGGTAGTTGAGCTCACGAGTTGGGCACGCGCCTATAAAAGGCAACCCGGCCTGCCTTAGGCACCGTCAGACCTTGGTAAATTCTAGTAAGCAGAACAGCCAGACAGCCAGCTAGTAGTTCTTTAACATCCATCACGTTCAAGTAAAAACACCTTTCTCATTATCCATACTTCCTTACCTTAAAATATATTTTGCACTCGTATCAACGCCTGCTGGAATTAAAGCGTCGTATACCTTCACTTCGAAGGTACATTTTACCATGTGCGTTGGTCGACATGTAAGAAGACTGAGAGCCAATCCCGCCTCTTCTCTGGGCCAGACAACAACGAACCCTGTCCACACAGTTGTGACACCTGCAACGCGGACGAGGACTTTCAGACAGGTATGTTGTTATTTTGCATTAACAGTAAGAATATAAAGTTTATTTAGGTAATCGAGATGTTGCGGTACCAAAGAAATTAAGAGGCTGAAGCAGCTGTCTTGTCTCATACGAAAATTTTTCATGAAACGTTTTCTCGATATGTGTAGATAGTGAAGGGTGTACTCGCTGCTTTTATAAATTGCACTAAAACTTACAAAAAATCGTGTATTTGATGGGCTCCTGGGTGCACAGAAATACAAAAACTTTAAGCTAAAATAATTTGTATGCACAAGCCACGGTGGTCTAGCCGTTAGAACGCTGGCCTTGTAATCCTGGGGTCTCGGGTTCGATTCCCGGCGGTGGGTGCCGGAATTTATAACTTGTGTTGGGCAAGGCCTTGGTCTAGGCAACACGGAGTTTTCCTCCGTGGCATCCCAACAATTACTCCATTCACACACAGACGAAGGCAATGGCAAACCACTTCTGGATCATCTGCCAAGAACGTATATGAACAGGTCCCAGTCCGAGAAAAGGATGGAAGGATCCTGTTCATATGGACATGTCCTCAGACAGAACACTAAATAAAAATAATTGGTATGCAAGGCATTGTGGGTCTTAAAAAGGGCTATATTAAGTTCATGGGTACTGATCTATAAATTCAGTAATATGTTACCAGTTTACAAATATGTGGGGAGTAATTGCATTTACAGTAACAACGTTGCAATTGAATTACGGTTAAACAGAAAAAAAAAAATTCCATCCGACCATAATTATTCGTTGGTAGCCCTGCTTGACTTGCGGCATCGTTTCAAATATTTATCGTGGAAATTATATCTGCTAAGAATTTGTTATTTTCATTGACCGCCGCTTTCTAAATGCCTTCAATTTAAATGTAATTCTACAAAATTAATGCCGCAAAGAGGCTTGCATATTAATAATTTACTTTAACAAATGTATTAATTCTCATTTGTATTGACTATTCGTTTAAAATTAAATTTATAGTTGCTGAAATTATCCCACAATGAAAGACTGTTTTGTTACAGCCGATGAAGCCCGCGTTACCTAGGAAGCTAACAGGATCGGCCAGAATCAATCTGAACCAGTACTGGAACATCCTAGAAGAAATGGTGCCGTGTGACATCACAGTGGGCAATGACGGAGTCGATATGTCGAACGAGATCAATGAAAATCTGGCTAATGAGAGATTAGAGCAATCACGTGACCTGGCTTTTATTTGTCGAGGTGGCAGTGCCAACACGGATGTCGAAAATATAGTAAGTCCGGACAATCGTACACTGTGGAGGAGTTACTCAATTTCTAGTGCCACCTGGCCCAAAGAGATAGGCTAATCCACGTAAAAATATGTCAGATCTAGCAAAGAATGACCGACAATTTGTTAACTCGTTACTGAACTTCCTGTGACGAAGAATTTCAAAGATCAACATAAGTAATACAGAAGTCGGTCATTGCAGGATTTGCATAGAATTTTGTTTGTGGTTTCCATGACAGCTTGCAGAAGTGACATGAAACTGCTTCGAAGAAAATTGTGTTGGTATGTCGATTTATAGAAAATCTCAGCACGTATTTCTCCTAACAACTTTGCGACAGAAGATTATTAATGAACAAAGGAACAAAGGAGTACACAGAATCTTATTTTGTAAGGGAGATGATGTTCTCGACCATTCAAGAACTAGCTGGTTCCACATTCAATGCTTCTATCGTCTTGATGGCTGCCGGTCAATTGAAAATTAATTTTAATAAAGTCCTATTGACTCATTATCGAATACTCTACGTGTAACACCTGAGTGTGTTTAAGTTTACGAAGGTATTAGGCTGAAAGTTGCCACCTTGATTAACAACAGGCATATTAACAGAACGAAACTGTAAATATGATAAAAATAATTAAACATAAAAGTCACTAAGAACCAGTACCGGCTGACTCCAAACCCTCCTCAAACGCAGTCTCCAGAGTCGCCACCTTCAGAACTTAATTTTAATTTTTTTATTGTATTTTTGACTCCTTCGCCTTGCTCTGTCTTCCTAAACTGGAAATGGATAAATCATTTATCTGTGATTATTTAGTTTATAGGTTAACGTGGAATGGACATCTGACGAAGGATTGCATTTAGAATATTACATTTAAATTTATATCGATTATACACCTGAAGATGGTTCATTGAAAACCGAAACATGTCGTGAAAAAGATGATGCTCTAATTGTAAATCGAACATTTCGATAGAAAGAGCATCATTTTAATATATTTTAATATATTTAAAATATTTAAGTGTTAATTATAGTAATATTTTAATATTTAATAAGAATTTTATTGTGATTAGACTGACAAGATTTAAACAAGTATATATTTATCACAATATGACGCAACTTTATCATCTCGTGGTTAATATAGTATTTTTACCCACTCATCGACTACGTGATGTAGGTTTATTATTACACTTCAAAATGCATTACTTTAATTACTACTCTTCAAGGGTGTCTTGAAGTCAGAATTTATTTTTTAATTTGGCCTAGACATATTTACGGTTGTAATATTTGTTTTAATACCCCTTGTGGAGAGGGACAGACAAAGAAATTTCCGTTTCTCTCGGCAACGAGAATGAAAATGGGTGTCGTCTGCGATGTTACACCGTGTAGTCTGGCATAAGTTTACTGACGTTTCAGAGTGCTTGGTACCTCCATCATCAGGGCGATAAGTCGCGCAACAACCCAGAAGCCAGCCATATTCAAAGATAATAAATATTTAATATTTAGTGAGTGGTATAAAACTTCTAAAAGAACTTCTCTTAATGGTTTGTTATTTTTCAGTTCTGTAGAAAGTTTTTATATTTTTTCCTGAGATTTGTAGGCGTATACTTTATTTATTTTATTCTTTCTGTTTTTAGATAAAGCATGTGTAGCTCAGTGCCTGCAGAAGAACGCGTACAAAACAGACGACTGCTAAAGCTTAAGATTAATATTTATCTTTATTCGTCTGTTTTGCGACAAACGCACACAAACTTTAATTTAATTGTAACACAATTTAACTTAATTTAATTTAAATATAAAGCATTTTACATGCGTTTGAAACTAAAAATTTATCAAAATTGGGACATTTTTGGTCTCGATTGGTGTGTAATTTTAGAATTAAATTGGACCGCATGAAACGTCCATTTGAGAGCCACGAGTCTGGCATGCATTTTTTTTAAAAAAATACGTAGGCACTGAGGTAAATAAAACCTGTACCGAGAGCTCAAATGAAGCTAGGCTATGTGATATTTATGTAAGAATATCTGTGATCACTATTATTACTTATTAATTACTTGTGGTTTAATTTGTTTCCTGTAAAAAGTGTATTTGCATTTTATTTTATAAATTTATGGTAACTGAAGCTTTAATTATTTTTATTTGTGATTATGTTCTTTCTTGACAGTTCTGTGTAATAAATGTCTGCTCTATGCTTCACCTGATGTTTTATTTTCCTTCCACACCTTTTCGTTAATGCTAGATTATTCAGACGTTGCGAATTTTAATTTACCGAAACGTGTCTACGTGTTTAACATCTCACATTAAATCTACTTCTCACTGAATAGGTTAGCACAGTGACTGCTCTCTTGTATGTCGAATATAGGACGTGGAACAACGAATCTTTGTCGTTTTACTCAGAATTTCCGAGAGAAGGGCGGAACAATCCTCTGAAATAGAATCCGACATATTCTTTCTAATTCTATTGAGTTTTCGTTTTCCGATCAACCTAACCTAACCTTAGTTATTGTTCCATTTATTCTCAGTCTTTGCAGATGGTCATTTTCCAAAGAAGGTTGTCCACGATACATTCTTATGTTCTCTGTCTTGGCTTATATCGAATTTAAATACATGCGTTTATATTAAATTTGATATATTTTTGAGTATATTATGCTGTAAGTGTGTTACGCGGTAACAATTACGGCTTTCATGGAAGAATTTCTATCTGCGAGTCCACATGATGTCACAAACCAGAACATCGTTATCTCGACCGCCTTGAGAACCTCAAATCTCACATGTAACATCATAATATAGTAGTCGTAATTCATTTTCGGACGGTGTTCATTCTAATCTCGGCGTCATGCCTGTGAAAAAGGTGCTGTGTATCGAATTTCTTCAAAATGTGTCTTTGGGCTAAAAAGATTAACTACTTTTTCTATTAAGTCGACTTAAACCAAAATCAGAGTTGGTCTAGACCATTTTTTTGGAAACCTAATGTACCAAATTTGACGACCTCGATCATACGTGTATATGGGCGCCGTTACAGGAGTACGAATGAATGTGGAGGTTTTCGGGTGGTTGCTGAAACATATCCATGTGATAAGCCATGTAGTGTTTATAACATAACCTGCAAGTACACTGTAAACAGCAATTGATGGCCACGCCTGCTACACGTGGTGCAGGGTTTCACTTTAGCAGAAATTTAAATAGTGAACTATATAATTCTGCAATGAAATAATAACCAATCAAAAAGAAACTTTAAAATGACGTCATATAGGCAATGGCACCATGAAAAACGGAAGACGACGATTGAAATTCGATCGGCAACTATCAGCGGAGATATTTGTTGTACGAACTGATATAAAATTATCAGTGAGTCTGAAAATGAAACATTTGAGAAGACTCAAGGATTGACAGATCTTCCGGGTTTTTGACGATTTAGACTCTTTGCAAATACAAAAACAACGCGAATAATTTCGTCTAATATTGAATGGTAGAATGATGTAAATGGATTATATGTTCAGTACAGGTACTGCGAAGCTAAATAATTTTAAGAACACTTGTTATTGCAAATAATGGAGAAGGAATCCATATGGACTGTCAGTGGCCTTTCTAAAGCTTCCACAACGAAGGACATTCGAGTCCCTTTTGTTCCTATGTTCGTCCTTTCGCCGAGTGCTTACTGCTATTCATGGGTAACAATAACCAAAATTTTCTTTCAAACTGAAATTCAATAGCTCAATATTATCCTTTAGGACTCTAGGATGGATATTTTCAAATAAGAAATTGTATAGCTAAATATTGCCCTTGTTGGATTACATGCTGGAATGAGTCCATAACTCTAGCTCTTATTTGCTTCGTACTTCTGGAGGGAAGACGAATGTTATGAAACAAGAGGAGATGTTACATCTCATCCCTTTTCGTTTCGTACTTTGCAAGGATGTTCTTGCCTTGTCATCATGTCCGTATGTGAAATTCTTCAGCGACAACTCTGATGATGGAGGCAGCAAAGGCCTCTGAAACGTCGGTAAACGTCTGCCAGACTACGCGGCACAACAAACTTGAAGACAAGTCATCTTCAGACTCACCGCCGTGAAAACCTCAAATCCTACACAGACAGTCTAAGGAGGACAGTCGACTTCGAAAACTTGACAGTACGTGAGGTAATGACAGTTTCATGTCCACTAAGCAAAAGTAATCAGCATTTTGATTCTCAGCTACGTATTTCATGGGACCAAGCTTGGATGACGGAGGTATCTCTGGCTTCTGACGACGGGAAGATTCCAGTAGTGGCAGGGACCATATTGTTTCATAAGTGGGGCTATTCGATACTGAGCTACAGGTCAGGTTACTTAGCTTTTGGTTGTGTGCCCTCTTCTAGAACCCCAGGGTGGATGAGGCTGGTGGTATGTTGAGCCTTCATGGCTCATCCCGGACAATAGAGAACGATGTGGGCTTGTAAGAAAGACCACCAAATTCCTGAGGACACCAAAACCTCGCACCTGCCAGATTTCAGAGACGTAATTGAGCTTGGTCCAAGTTGACAGCTGTGACGTGTTTCGCTAATTCGCCCGGCGTTTGCAACTTACTCTTATTTATGAATAATAATTATAATGATAAACAAATTCTTTACAGCATTAAGCAGTTGAATGAACAGATTAAGACTGATTTTAGGAAGGTTTGATTGGGTGTTGAGAAATTTATAACAGCTGGCTTTCACGTGGCGAATCATTGCATTCCTGGAGCGGTATAATCAGAACTCCGGGTCGAATTTTAGCCAATAACGTATCTTCACGTATGTGCTCCTTTGTAGAAACCATGCAAAGTGGACTAGGAGTTGCAGATTATTCTCATTTTGGTGCAGGAATGTCCAGAAAATAACTTTCTCGGGAGCTTCTGTAATGATTGGTGATCAGATTGACATAACGCTATCTTACAGTGAATGATGACACAATATTATTTCAATTACATTGAACTAGTTTTAATAATTGGTCATGACATGTCATTTTCCGCATCGGTTATTATAGTGACTAGGCTACGGGCTGGACGACAGTGGTTCGATTCCCGACGAGACAGAATGAGTAGAGTTATACTCCATTGCATGGCGTTGTGCTTAGTTAAGCACCAAGGACGACTTTACTTCTACATTTTACCTGCAAACTTAATTGTATGCAGTGAACTGGTGGGACCAAACGCTTTTGAAACTGTTCCATGCAGCATTCAGTTTACGGTAGGCGCATTTCTATGCTGTAGGCCTACCATAAATTGGACGGTGAATGGAGGGATGAGAGAAAGTATTGCACACGTGCTGCGGAAAAGGATGGCTTGTTTTTCAGATGTCAACGTCGAAAATGTTATATCGTAAAAGATTGACCAATACAGTAAAATTTCTTTAAACACCCAGTTCCCAATATTTCCACACAAGTTTGAACTTGTCCTTTGCAATGCGCCCAGTGGAGCGTAAAATATAAAGAAGAATCTGTTCCACAAAGTAATGACTGAAAGATGACCATCTTCAGAAAATCTTAACAAAACAGTTCATCAGCTGGTAAAGTGGATTTGCACGAAAGGAAACCAGCCCTAGTTATAGTCACGTGATTGTGGGCTTCCCCTAGTTATGTGTCAGTCTTGTAAAGACTTGCTTACTTGTTGAAGAAGAAATGCCTTAAATAGAAGTGACCACTTTTCCTCATATTGGACTCCCATTTTCTTCAGTTTACCAACAAAGAAATTCGCCACCTGTTTTGTTACACCTCGTTGATTTTCCTAGGGGTGTACATGGTTCCTCCAGGTTGGGGGTTGGTCGCAAGGCTAACAACCTTGCACCGTAAAAAGGAAGATGTTTCGAAACCTC